CTCTTCCGCCGCGGAATTTCTCCGCAGAGCAAAATCCGTGACCTTTTCGCCGATGCGACGATGCTGACACTTTCCTTAGAGAGAAGACCGATTACGCACGTCGCGAGGTAATGGCATCGATTAATATAATCGCGAAGAGCAAATTTTTACTCATTATTGTGACTCTCAGAATTTTTTCTATTTATATTCTATTTTATATTCTGAGATTATCAAATTTGCTATTTTAAATATTTAGATTTTTCTCAATTAATTACGTGTAATGTAAAAGAATCAATTAAAATCTGAACCTACTAAATATTTTTCCTTCAAACTTTGTTCATTAAAAATGTCTACTTTAGTTGTCACAAAAGATGACTAGTGACACTTTTACAAATAATATCACAAATCCAGGAATCAAGTTATCTTAACAATTTAATTTTTCTTCTCACTGCGCAAACGTTGGTCGCCATCTCCGCCATCGACAAAAATGTCGATTTCTAAACGTATCCCCCCCCCCGTCCCCAGAGAGAAATTCAGAATCTCATAGTCCCATAGTCAAAATTAAAGACTAAAAAAACGAGCCTTCTCTCCATGGGGATGATATTGCGCAGCCTTTCTCTCATTTTCATGAGGATCACTCTCTTCCCCCGTTAAAAAAAATAAGAAAAAAGTCACCCTCACCTTTGCTGTCGCAGACGTCGCAAAGCACCATATCGGGCGGCAACGGAGCGCGTGTGTCCTACCGCGTGGTCGTATCTGCACTGAGACATTTCGTGACGTAGGGCGGCATCGCGTTGGGTTGCGGAGGAGGCTGCGGACAAGGGTGACGGAGAGGAGAACGAAGAAAAAGAGAAGACCGGCGTTGAACGTACGTTGACACTATCGATCGAGCGGTCTGCAAAGTGTTAACGGTTTGACAGTCACGTTTACACTGACGATGTAGCGCATCAGAACCGATGTACGGACGAACAACGGCCTCCAACGGCGGGGTCGAAGAAAGGGGGGGATTACACCGATGTGACCCACCGTGGTGGGGACATCCGGATCAATATTGGGGCGTAGACTCAAGGGCAAGGGCCGTTAGAGTCTGTACGGGGTATCGGTCCTCTAACACGGAGGATTTCTCAAGAAATTCAGAGTCAATGCTTTCACGATAGAGATTGGCATTTTGCAGCGAGCTGCGATCCAATAAATAAAAAAAAGATCTTGCGTCTAAATTTATCTCAATAAATCATTCAAGTACTCACTTCAAGTGCTCACTTGATTTTTCATCTAAGGACAGAGGCTGAAAATTCAAATAAAATTTGTCCGAAAGTTGCCGAAAGAGTTTATAATTATTTGATCACTGGATAAATGTATTTTACATAATATAATCCTAGTATTAAGTAGTCAAGTTGGCTTGAGCGAAAAGAATCCAATTGTCCAATCAAATTTACGTAAACTCCGTTTCATTAAAATCGTACGTAACCAAAGTTTCATCGCTAAATACTTTACATTGAATATTAGAAACTCGCCTCGAGTAAAATCTCCGCGAAAATCGAATTCTATTCTTCTTGTGAAAATTTCGAGTCAAAGGTTCCGGAGCACCCTGTATAAGGAAAACGCGTGCGGAGCCGCGTGCGTGCGTGTGAAAAGGAATTCGGATACGATGCACCGCACCGCAATATCGATCGTGGTTGTTGTCGGTACGCCCTATTGTGCCTAGGATTTGTTAAACACGACTTTTCCGTTCTCACGCGATCGCCGGGATCAGTTCTATCGCTTTGAATGCCGCGAGGTTTACATGACGATTAGCGCGATATTAGACGTGTCATAAAAAAATTATTGCATGACCGTGTAAAAAGAGCCGCTTATTTATCTCGCAATATCGGATAATCTATATTTGTACTCAGAGTATCAGAAAAAAATGTCTTTTTTTTTTTGCTAATAACACAGACGAAGAAGAATTATAAAATATACGTTTGCATCAGAAAAAAATGTTTTTTTTGCTATATAATATGAAGGAAGAAGAGTATAAAATATATGTTTGCTCTCTGTATTTTTCTGGTTAATTTAACTGATGACAAGTTGATGACTTTGTACTTCAAGTAATTTAATTATACAGTACTGACCTTTTCAAGTTTTTATTGAAAGAAAATCCTAACTTTATCCAAGGAAAGTTATTTAATTTGCTTCACATAATAGTAACTTAATTTGACTTGTACTTTCAGAAATTATTCGCATCGTGATCGAGTTTTTACATAATTCAGTCTTGAGCTGAAATGTACGATAAAAAAGATTGATTAGACTCGTCCTCCAGACAATTAATTTAGCTGCTGTCTGATTACTTATTTCAAACTTTTATCAAACAAAAATATTGATTTTACACGTATCCCGAAAATAATTGAAAAATAACTTAATTTGTCTTACAAAGGATAATTTAATATTACTTCTGTTTTCAAATGTTATTCTCGAATACGCGGCTGGATGTTTACGCAATCAAATCGTGAGACTCGCTGAATCGGACGATAAAAGTGATTGCGTGTCATCAGACCGTTAATTGCGCGTGTCGCGTTCTCTCTTCGTTTATATATGAAAACTTTCGCGGCGCGTGAGAATGCGAATGTCGGTGTCTTTCTCGATGCACGAAAAGGGAGAAACCTGCCCCTCTTCTGACTTTCAGGACGAAAGTACGGCATTACGCGAACGGCCAGGTATTCGAACGTGGCAGCCAACCTGGCATGGGTGCATAGTTCAAGCGTAAACGCGGTATTTCACCGCGACGCGAAAGGATTAACCCTTTCGCGGTCACCGACGACCCGAGATCCTTTGATTCAGGAATTTTTTCGCGAGGCGCCTGCTTTACGAACCTTCTCTAAAAGGGAAAGGGGGAGAGAGAGAGAGAGAGAGAGGAGAGAGAGAGAGAGAAGAAAACGAGAGAAGGAACGTCGGCTTCGCATTACACGAAGATTATGTACGATCAACGTAATGTGACGATATCTATGAATGCAACGCGAAATTCTCCACGATGTTCGGGAGAAAAAAAGAAAATATTTAATTTGAATGTACATCTGGCGAATATTTCATATGTCCGCGCGATTATTTTAATTCAACGCCTCAATTAGAAGGATAAAATTTTTAAATTCAAATTAATATTTTTAAGAAATTTTTTCAAAGCTCTCTCGAAGGAAAACATATTTTCTCTATGTATTACCTCTTTCTTTGTAAAATTGATTCTAATAAGAAAATCTAATTGTCTAATAAGATAAATTGATCTAATAAGAAAATTTAATTGTCGAGTCTCAACTCAATTTCTAACTTCTAAAGTTTATTCTTTTTTGTCTTTATTTCGTATAATTCTGCATTTTTGCGACGCAAACGCAATCGACTGTCTTGTATTCGAGAATTATAGGCACGCATCAACATTCTTGAGTCATCGGATGGGCACGTACGCAAGCGGAGATATAGTGGGTCTACATGTAAGATGATAAGTCACAGATAAGAATGCTTAACCAGGATAAAAGAGCGGTGCAAAGTAACGCCAGCCGCCGAGCACCTTTTTACACGTTACGTTCAACTAAAGGTGATGGCGATGCCATTCCGCTCGCATTGAACACAACATTCACACACCGGGAACCAGAAAATTTCCTGGAAGCATTAGCCGTGAGAACACACCGACACTTTCGGCATTCATCGAGCTGCAATTCGTATCGATTAAATATCGTGGAGAAAGCGACACTTGTCTCTTATCTAATCGGACAAAAATTAAGACGATTATCTCGCTCTCGACTAGTTTTTGCAACGCAAAAATCAATTAATTCAGTTCAATTTTCAATTAATTTAGTTACTTCAAAGTAGCAGCGAGACTTCTATCGAATCAAATTGATTCTACATCTTTTTTCTCGAGATATCTAGTCTTAGAAAAATCACAGATGAATAAAGTAAAATTAATTACTTAGAAGTGCATAATGAATATATAAATACAATAATATTTCAGATTTCATAAATCTCATATTTAAGAGACATGGAATTCGATCTTACATTATCGTTTGCAGGAGTGTCAGCTCTTCAGGGATATCGTATATACAATCGAGTGCTTGAAAAGATTGGGACCATCATCGGTTTGAAACTTTCACTACGGAACCAGAGAAGAGGCACTCGGCGCGACTGTTTCTCCAGTTAAATCCATATATAGGGACATATGTTAGGGGGACTTGCACACAATCTATATTGGGGACATACTACCCTGACCTGCGATAGTAACGAGTGCGTGCGAGCAAATGAACGTGAGGGAGCATCCAAAAATAGGGGTGTCTCCTTTCCCAAGGGATTAATAGGCACGCCAGTTGTACTGTAATTTTAAATACCACGACAAACGTCGTTAATTGAATTTACCGGCTTATAAAATACGCCCTTTTCCTTCAACGGCCTAGGGGCATTAAAACGATAAACCTGAAAACTTCAACAGCCACGAATGCTCGAATGCTCGAGATAAATGTAGGCTCGAGGCAAATGCGGGTAAAACACCGGTAAACATCTCTCGTTGTCCTCTTCAATAAAATTATTATAACACATCGTATTACGTGTGATTAACGAAATAAAGAAATTTGATCAAATGTCTTTCTTTGATTTATTGTGGTCTAAAAATATTTTATATTTTCAGTCAAGATTATTATAACTAAATAAAATTAAATTTAAAGAACCAATTTACTAACTTTTACTTAACAAAGTACCTTAAAAATATTCCAAAGCTTCATAATTTTCACTTTGCAAAGGTTCCTTGTCAAATTTTCAATCATCGTTGATTTATGTTCAATATACAAACTTTATAAACAACAATTAGCTAACTCTAATCAACATTAAAACTGTTTTAACCGATACTGAATATTATTCCATCTATTCTATTTATTCATTGGCGTGCACGTATGTCAATTATCATTTATATCTCATTAAATATTTTTTCTCACGCATGAGACGCGCGCGCGCGCACGCATACACACACACACACACACACACACACACACAGATATGTTCAAACTCACCCTTTCGCTGATCCTCGTTGTCAGAATGAAGTTCGACGTCGTGCAGCCTCATGGATTGCACGAACCCTCGCCAGTGACTGCGCGAGCGTCCCCTCTCGCCGAGATCGCTCTTCAGATCCGCCAGCTGCCGGTCTGACTCCTTCAACAGTCCATCCAGAATATCCGGTCTTTCCAGATTAGAACTGGCCTTAGAATTCTCCTCCGCACCGTTCGACGAGTCCTCCTCGCGATCGAGATCGCGAACTCCTCGGTCCTCCAACTCACGGCGTTCGTCCATGGAATAATCCGCGTTCTTCCAGTCTCGATTCCTCGAGTTTCTTCTTCTGCGAGCGGGAGGACACGGCCGATCCTCCGAATTCGCGAATTCCTCCTTCTGCCTCTGCTTGTCCCTCAGGTCTCTCTGTAGAATGTTCTCTTGAAAGATCTTACTCGGCGCTTTGCCATTTTTCTCCACGTCCTTGTTCGACGTCCTGTTGGATACAATCTTCGAATTGTTACATCGATCCTTCAATGACTCCCGATTGCCCCTGGATGCCTCTAGAAGCTTCTGCGCCAGCAACCGGGTCCTGTTGATTTCCTTCGCCGGCTTTCTCTCCTCCTTCTCCGAATCGCTTTTGATCTTCCTGTCATTGCCGTTTCTGGTCACCGTCCTGGGCAAAGGATCCGCCGATTGAAACATCTGTTGGATCTTGAAGATGTCCGACCGGATTTTGGCCGAGGTCGGCACATCGTTCTTCTTACTCGCCAGGGTTAATTCCGTTCTCTGTGAAGGAGATTTGTAATTCCGCTGCGTCGGCGGAGTGTTCCTCAGCCTCTCCAGATCCCTCAGATCTGCCAGCAAAGAGTTGTGAGTCCTCGATATCCTGGGGTTGCCCTCCTCGAGACCGACGGCGACGCTGCGCGGTCGATTCCTCGGTTCCAACTTGCCGATCTTGTCGATTGGCGTTAGTGATTGGTCCAGGAAGACGGTCTCCCGAATTTGACTGATATTGCGCAATTTAGGCGCACCGATCTTCAACCCGGTAGTCCTCATAATCACCTTCTCAACCGACTCGATGTCCCGCTCGCGGCCTAATCGCCTCTCCTCAATTAATCGCGCCCGGTTGGCGTCGATCGACGTCGCAAATGAGTTGTGATAAGTCGAGCCCTTGTTGGAGGTGACGGCCCGTGAATTTGGGCCGGGGTTGATGGACCTGCTGTTACGCAAAGGAGACATCCGAACTAGCCTCGGTGCATCCCTGGGATCGTCCGTCTGCAAACTGCCCCGGTAAACCATTTTTTCCTCGTTTATTTCAATCAATTCTCTTTCGTCAGAAAGAACGAAGATTATTCAGGAGGATTGTTGTTCACCTGAAAATTCGAGTATTAGTTAAAATTCGAAACATTAATTTATAATTTAAAGAATAGAATAATTATTTAAAAAATTCTGACGTTATTTATATAAAAATATTAATCGCAGTCTGTGAAAATTCGAATTAAATAATTTGACAAAATGAGAGTAATCATCTTGTATAATAAAATGTTTGGACTGTTTGATTCTATCGTTTCCAAAGTAGTTGTTGTTCGCAGACACGGAAATTCAATATTATCCAATGCCGGACATAAACGCCATTTCCAGGCGCATAAAAGAAACAATTATGATAAAAGACTCGACTATGTCGAGTCTACGACGTTGCTCGAAAATATTGCGCGACCGAAAGGCGGTACACATTAAAATATATGCTATTAAGATTGTGGTAATAAACTCGCAAGGCAACTAAAGTTAAATCTCTATCGGCAGGATTATTAATTATCTTGTAAGTAACAGAAGGGTCAAATGGAGCTATAACGGCGAACTGTCATTTGAAACGACCCGCTCGCTAAATGATAAGTCCTGTTCGCCGATCGATACGTAATAATTTAGCTTTCCATGGAATTAGTAATACCTCGCGCGTCAACGGTAATCTATGCAAATTACAGCGGTGAAACTCTAACGCCGCTGAAACAACGCTCACGCCCGACCGGATACGTTGATGTAATTCCAAGCAAAAAAAAAATAAAATTAAATTTCAACGGCGAAACGAGCTCGAAAAGACCGCTCATTAGCCGCGACGAGAAATCTTCCGCGTTTTTCGAATTAATCACTTTTCACGGGACATCCTTTCCTCCTCTTGATGGAAGAAAATAAAAATATTGATTCTTGCAACGCACTTACGGCATTTCCACCGCCGGCGAGTTAATTTGATTCACAGGCCCGTCCGATTTTCGAGTCTCGTTTGTTAATTCACTTCACACAACTCGAATCTCGAGTCTCGAGTCTCGGTAGACTTATACGGCAATGAGAAAACACCGGCGGAGCTTTTACAGTTCGCCGCGCGCGTCTCGACGTTTACTCGACCTGCAAGGTCGTACGACTCGAATATCGTCGACTACGCTGAAAATCGCCCCGTCTCCGGGCGCGAGACTCACGACCAATTCGTCGCGGGAAACGCGCGCGGCGAGTCACCGAGGCTTATAATTGAGCGTATTAATCAGAGACTCGTCGATAGCTAGTAGCTGCGTTTCATGTGGGTGTCACCACGCAACACGACACGACGCAACGCAACGGCAACGCAACGCATGTGGGCAGCGACCCGATCGCACACATTTTGCAACGTGCACGCGCGCGCGCGCGCGTGTGTAGTGTGTGTGTGTGTGTGTGTGTGTGTGCGTGCGTGCGCGTGAGTGTGTGGGTGTCACTATCGCGTCAAGGCGCGCGATCGTCCGCGTAAAACGCCATCCGCGCGCGGCTGCATTCTAATCGCGAACGCGGCCGAGGATCGTTCAAATCGTACGATCGCGCGGAGCTGACAGTCACGCGTCTCTGTCTTTCTCTCCGCCGCGCTGCCATAAATGGCCAGCGGCGGCGATCGGCGTATTTTACCGCGCTTCTGTACGCGCGATGCCTCCTGCGCGATCGAGACAGATCGATCGTTGCCATTAACGACGATTACTATGCGAATACAGTCGCCGGTGTGATATAAGCTGCGTGACGTAACGGCCGGAGACGTAACGTCTTCGTTCTTCTCTATGAGCTTCTCGAGTACGAACTGTCTTGCTTGTAATATTCCTCGTTTTAATCGTCATACTGCAGCAATGTTGATACCTCACAGGCCGTTAATTCGAGATAATGAAGCCCACGGTTCGCGTACTTGTTACGTGACATAGTACTTATATATGGTAATGAAATAGTTGCAGCTCGTCGGCGGGCACACGGTCCCGCTAAGCGTAATCAGATTCCATTATGATACATCGCGAGTTAACGAAGAAAACAAAAGCGCGAAACTTTCTGAAACGGTAGCGGACGTAATTAAGGATAGTGCGTCTCATAATTCGGATTGAATGCCTGCCCGTTGTACCGTTGGCTTCGTTTTGAATTCATTACTAATTGGCAGCGACAGGCCTAATCGCCAACACGATCGCTTATTTTAAGCTTTTGACGGCGCTTCCTAGATTCCAGGAATTTATATTTTGAATGGCTAATTATCCTGTAAACTATTCAGTAATTCTGATTAATTTTGCATAAGCTCACATTATTTTTATCGCAAAATACATACATTAAATAATACATGAAAAGAAGCAAGAGTTCGATAAATCTAACTTTAAGATCTATTCCTCTTTTCAGCGGCATTTTTTAATTTTATTTAACAAGTTTGCGTAATATCAGAAACGTCGACCGATTTTTCTTTCTTCTTTTTAATCATCTATAATTCTTGCTCATAAAAAAATTACACAATTAGTAAATGGAAAGCATTGATTAAATCATTAAAGAAATATATCATAAATGCGAATAATTTGCAAATCATTAATGCAGTGAAAAGCAACGGAATCAAAGAGATTCAAAATTCGCTTTCTTCTTTCATGAAGGCTGACCAGCAGTTTTCTCACGTTTTACTCTCACCCAAAAGTTACAAATACAATTTAAATGGAGATAAAAATCGCTAATGAGAAGAGAGGCGTGATTCAGAGTTTCACTTTACTTCCTATTTACTCGTTGGCCCGGGCAGCGATGTTCACTTTAACTGACCAAACGATCGTTATCGCTGACGATGCGCTTAAATCCGCAAATCCGTCACGCTGCACCAGCTTCACTCGCTCCGGAAAATGAATAAACGCGCAAACTTCGCACATACGTAACGGAATAAACGTCGTTTCCCGTACTCGAGATTCGGCCGAGCGAAATCCGAAATCGTCCATCATACGCTTTTTGCGCTTCCGGCAGTGCGCACATTTACACGATGCGAGAAAAAGCAAAGAGAGGAAAGATAGTGCAGGGAGCATGGAGACGGAGTTACCTATTTTATTTTCTGCGACTCGAGAGAAGCCACCGTGAGGTAACCGTGAGATTTGCAAAATCTCATCGGACGCCTCGGACAAATCGCCTCTTTTTTCCTCGTCTCCGCGAGATGCGATAACGGGAAACTCCTGGCCCGCTGCTCGCACTTGTGGCCGGTCTCTCTCGTTAGCTCTGCAACAAGAAAATCCACGCATTTTTCATTAGAGCACCATTACGAAGCCCATGATTTTACGGCTTTCCACGCGTAGCGCGGAACGTACGTTGCTCCCATTCTCTCCGCCGTTTGTTGATTGAGTAGGCCGACAATGTTGTCCGCCATCAGGTCTAAGTGGATCGATCCATGAATAAGTTAGAATAAAGAGTTACTTCGATGTCAGTAATTCAAATAAGATTCAATTTGCATTAACGCTGATCCAATTTCGCTGCGCTCTCCATATAAGGCGCGCCAAGTTCTCCAACTCCGGAATAACGAAGGAATGCATAGAATTAAAGAACGATGAATGAACACAAGTAAAGGCAACTCAGGTATCTATTTGACCAAATATGGGTCTGAAAATAATTTCATTGAGCCGGCAAAATAATTATGCAAGACGTTGATTAAAATATCAACAATTTTCGTAGTGTTCATACCTAAACATCCTACAAAATTGTTTTCAGACCTTTATCCAAATTTTTCCGCGCAAATAAAACAGAGAGAAGTAACACGTGCATTTATATTTTTCTCGTTATTATTTTAAATTAAAGATTTTTATTTCACTGGTAAATTTTCGTCCGGCTTAAAAAAGCGCAAATTCGTCCTTGTGTTCAGAAAACGAGAGATGACCGCGAATCCTTTTTTCTCGAGTCTCGTAATTACTTAACCGAGGATAATTCCCGAGATGTCTATATTTAACCGACTAATGATTGCGCTCGCCGAGTTGTTCCCTTCTACTCGGACGTCGCACTTTGATTACAGCGAGGCGAGGCATTATGCGGATCGCATCATCTCCGTCAATCTCCGTGTGAAACTTAGCGGATCGACTTCCTCCGCGAATCATAGTTATTCCGAACGGACCGCGAGTGATCCAATTCCGCGTAAGTGGATGAGAACCGACGGCGAACCGTTCTCGTCGCATTTTGCTAGCTGGCCGCACTAGAACAATCCGTCCCAGAAAACAACGTAGCTCTGCGCTCTGCCTCCGACATTTACGATTCGCTGCCGAAGCCGCTTCTTGTAGCCGAACGATGCAACACCGAATCGACAGCATAATTCGACCGTGCAATACAAGACTCGCCGCTGTCTATTTCAAAGGCCAACCGCACATGAACAATGCGAACCGAAACGAAACATTCGTCTTGCGCTCCAGCTTCAGACTTACTTTGATTTATCATCGATTCCAGACGCGCCTCGAAGAGCGAACGTCTAACGTAAAACGTCCTGATTTGTCTTACACGCAAGATAAAAAAAATACCGCGCGATTGTTCTCGAGGGAAATCATCCTGCCGCCCGCGCGCACGCGGCGGAATTTCGCTATTTGAAAACAAATTAATCATCATCAGCCGCGGTTACGTAACTTTCCACGCCGACGACGCGAACGATTATAACGGTTTAATTAAAATTTCTGATCGCATCTACGCTATGTTACAGCGCGCAACCTCGCGCCGACTGCTCCACGCTTCGGGAGCCGCCAAGTCCGACTTCCGTGAGTAAAGAAGTGGCCGATTTACAAGTCCGCATGTTTTTTTGTTTTTACCTCGCCTACCTTTTATCTCATCCTCGACCGCTTATTTGTTGCGTATGTTTCTTTTTTCTTTTTTTTTTTTTTTTTTTTTGATCCAATCGCAGCACGAGCGGATCGTTACATCGAGACGAGGAATCCACGAATCGATAATCGATTCGGAGATCTCGTCGGACGACTTTCGAATTCCTACCGTTCGCGTTCCGCGCGATCTGATCGCTTCGTCCCTTTCCGGCTAAGCCGGCCGATTACGCGGAATCGTTTACCGCTTACGGCGTGATTACTATTCAATCGCTACACTTTCCTCGGCGCGAGTCACACACCGCGATCGAATTTTATTTGCTCCATTATACATCCGGTTTTCTCTCCCATTCATCAGACCAGTCGAGACGAGTCTCGAAGCGAGTCGCAAAAGCAGACGCGCCGATGCGCCGCACCGATAGCGCCCATAAATTTCCTCCCTTTCGACAATTAACTTCCTCTGCCCCCCCCTCCCTCTCTCTCTGATAAATGATCCGCGCGAATGCAAACCCTGGGGGATACACCTCAGGAACGCTCTTCCTCCTCGTAATAATACAATTAGTTCCGACTGAAATTTCGCTAATTAACTCTAATTACCTTCACGACACACGAGTGATCCTAAGATCGTAAGTCGCCGATTTTCCGGTTCAGTTTTCTCCGGGAATCGCTCCGCCCGCAGCTGCGCCTTCCTCCTCCGCCAGTTATCTCTCCGGTCCCGGGCGTCTGTCCGCGTTCGGATGAGCGATAACACTATTTAAAAATGCTTTCAGCACGTGTCCGGAAGAAGAGAGCGCAGCATCGACGCGCCATTCGGCCACGAGGCTTTATCGACAAGAACGTTTCACGGCATCATAATCGGCGCGCGGTCATAATCAGCCCGGAACCGGGCTTTTCACATCGCATAACTGGACACGCGTCGAATCGCCTCCAAAAATACACGGAGATTGCAAAGTTTCTCGAATCGTTTCTCGAGAATCGTCACAGTTTCCTCTCCCGCGTCTCTCTCGATGTCCACAAATTCACTTCTTTCCGCGTAGCAATTTTTCAAAATTGTTTGGAAGAATAACGCGCGTGGTATTCGCTTTTTTTAATTCTTTTTTCTCGTTTTCTCATTTTTTTTTTTCTATTCCTTCCTCTCTTGTCAATATTTCACAAAAACACACTTTTTTTTCATGTAGCAATTTTTAAATCAAAAATTGCCCCGAAAAATAACTCACTTTTTTAATTTCCTTTTCTCGTTTTATTATTACTTTTGCTATTTTTTTCATTGCACTTTTTTCGAACATTTCTGTTCTGGGTTTTATCATAACTTTTCGTATGCTAAAATTTACAATATATCTCAATGTTTCCCTGATAAATTTAATCCATCTCGAAAACGTCTTCCACAGTTTCTAATTTGTCCTTTTAAAACATCTTTTTTTTAATATTTGATATTTTTAAAAATATTTTTAATGTAACTTTGACATTTGACATTTAAATATTTTCAGCTCGCCCGAAACTCTGTCTTCTCACTCTGTCCTTCGATCTCCTCGGGCGGGCTTATCTTCCGAAGCTCGCTGCACTTGTTCGTCGCGCCGTTCGCGTGCGTGCACCACTCGCGGAGACCGTTTGCGGCCGCGACCGCACCATGTGCCCCCGTGCCGTGAGAAGCACTGAATGGATTCGCCAGACACGAAACATAATCGTGTCTACGGCAGGCGGACAGGCAGCTGTAGGTATACTACAGCTCTTTCCTTTCCATTCCATTCCATTCCATTCCGCCGCGGCGACGGCGGCGACGATGACGGCAGTGGGGAGCCGCATCAGCTACATGTCCCCTCCTCCCCCCCCCCTCACTGTGCATGCGGATGTAACGCGACCCACACCCACGCGACACCCGGTATACGTGGGTCGACATTGGGAAAAAGAGAGAGAGAGACGAGGGAGAAAAAAGATAGAGATTTATCCCGTTGTTTATGCAAAGAAAACGATGAAGAACTGTGAGAAGCGTAAAAAAAAAATGCGCACGTTAATTGCATATAATTCTGATTATGTCGAACAAAAGTAGAAGTTGCAAGTACGAAACGGTATCCCGACGGTGACGCGAAGAGAAGAATATAACAGGTGAACGAGGAAGAGAGACAAGTTATAACGAGAGAAACTCGATGACCGCCTATTTTGGGCAAAAACGTGCTAGGGCAATTAAAATGCTTTTACGATCGGCCGTTTCGAAGTGGTACCTGATTTTGATGTTGATCAAAAGATACATTGACGTCGTTCTCTCGGCTTTGACATTGAATAAACAATATTTCGTTGTGCCACCTTATGATGACTTTAACGAAAATAGGCAATGAGCATTGATATTAATCGAATAGAAAGTCATTGCGGAGCATAATGTAATCTACGATCGGCGTAACAATTGAACTTCTGTTGTCTTTAGTGATAGAATCTTTGAATGATAATTACCGGAAAAAATACGCATGAGAAAGCACTAATTACATCGAACTCTTAATTACCAGAGGCGTTTATACATGCGTTAATACATAATGTTTAATCCACGAACAAGTAATATTACAGATATTTTATAATTTACAATAGAATAATATCTTTACCATGATTCTGATAAATATTAAATAATTGTTACCTTCCTGTCATAATAACATATATTAATTAACATATATTATATACGACCTACTAACCGAATCATCTGTCTTGTGAAATTAATAAAAAAATTAAGAATGGAAAAATATGATTATAAAGTAGTTGATTTAGAAGAGAGTAATTGAATTATCAGACTCGTCTATATCTAATAATAGAACAGTTAGATAATTCTCAACCGTGGTCTCGGTATATTGAGGACAACGACCTACGTTTCGTGATTTTTATTCACATAAAGATGATCGCTTCCTCTAAAAATTATCAGTCGATAGCAGTGTCGCATAAGGACAAATGATAGCTAACACCTTCCTACGCTGTCGAACACATTAATGAACTTCGCAGTAACCGAAGAAATCTCAGTGGTGGAATTAAAATAACTCTCAAGTCTCTTGCTGGACAAACTACTATTCTCTTTATGACAGAAATGCTGTTGCAATAATCAGCCACTTTGAAAATATAGTGCTTTAAAAATAAAATAAAGATTCTTTTTACCATACTCTTAGATTATTTTTAAAGCACTATATTTGAAGGAACTCTTATTAATATTTGAATAATAATAATATTGAAATGTAATTCACTTATAATATATCACATATAAAATTCTTATTTCATTTAATTTTTCTTTTTTGATTTTCTCCTGTTCATGTTCCATTCGTCGCAAATTTTTAAGTAATTTTCAATAAAGCTATCAAAATTCAAACGACGGCCGTTCGTTGCGTGACTTTACGACTTCTTGAACGAGGCCTCGCCCATTGTTGTCATTATCATCATCATCATCGTCACAATCATTGTTTTCTCTGCAACAATCGTCGTTAATGACAATGAGTATTATTGTTTCCTGGTTCGCAATTATTGTTATTGTTACGATCGGCTGTAGAAGTATGCTCTATCTTTCGTCGCCGCGGGATAATGGCATTCTGGACAAGCCCAGGGATGACACAATGCGCCAACAATAACTATCACGTGCGATGATGAGAGAGAGAGACCAGTCGAAGATTCTTGTTTTTCTCCAAGAACGTAGACATCGATCGTCGCTAATGATAATAGACAATCGCGGAATGCCTTTCGAGGCCGTTCGGCTGCGCAAAAACGCGTCATCAAACAGTGCAGTCGCATCGACAAATTTTTCTTTTTTATCAAAATATTTCTCCTAATACAATGAGAAAATATAATGAGAAACTGACAAAATTTATTTTTCATACTTCTCTCTGCCATAAAAAGTGAATTAGAAATTAAATTAATAAATTAGAAAAAAAATCAAATTAACAAATCTGAAAAGAAGAAATAAATATTAACAACAAAATCTTAAAAAGAAAAATATATCATCGTGATTGAGTCTTTATTTTTCAGCTCTTATTTTTCAGCTCTTATTTTCGCTTGCATTTTTTGAAAGAAAATTGCAAGGAATGCGATATAAATATATTTTGCAAGAAAAATATATCGTTTATTTTTCTCTCGAATAATCATAATTATTATGCTTAATGGAGCCGACAACAGTCAACAGAAGAAACTATCGCGTACTGTTTGGAATTAATTTATCGTTGATTGAACTGTGTTATCCGCGAAGGTGCGTTCATTTCCGTTGATAATCAACGCCATCGCTGCTAGGCTTTGATACAACGGTAAAAACGACTTACGTTGTACATATACGTACACTGACGTGATATCTACGTATGGAACGGCTGTCGGCTGTCAGGATTGATGCATGCGTGCAAGTTTTTTCTAATGAGGCAAAGGTCACTTCCGGTCAAACAGAAAACGGAAACACAAGCGCGTGCTCACTCGCATCCGTTGCGCCCGCTGACGAAGCGATGCTACCTGAGTGCGTATCGAATCAACTACGTTTACTGCAAGAAACTGCAAGCTGCGGATGCAAATTTCCGCTTCCGACAAGTTGTTGATAGTACTGTTATTAAAAACAAATAACAAACGAATTAAAAATATAAAATAAATAATACAATAATATATATAGAAATAAATTGTTATAGTTATTTCAAAAATAGCAATGTTAATAGTACTATTATTAAATATTATTAAAAATAAAGAGCGAACAAATTAAAAATATACAATAAATAAAACAATAATATATGTAGACATAAATTTTTATAATTATTTCAAAAAGAGCAAATTATAAATATTAATAGTTAATTTCATCAAGAGATACCAAATATGTGTTTCTTTTTACCTTTTTTAAGAGATTTGTAAATGTTATAAAAATTATATGATATAATTATTACATATTACATAGATTAATATATTAATAATATTAGAAGCTTTGAAGCTTTAGAAAATTTTATAGAAATAATGTAACAAAATAATTAACATAAATTTCGTTTTTCTGGACTCGCTAAATAAAGAACAATGGAAAATTGTTCTTTATTTAGCGAGTCCAGAAAAACTAATTAGCTATGATATTGTTCGATAATGATTGAATATATTTTTAAATGATGGAAGAATATAATTAGAGTACAGTCGCAATAGGAGAATAAAATTAAACAACAAATAGTTCAACACTCCTGAAAGATAATATCTCTAAAATTCTTCAAAGATTACGTTTCAAAGAGAAAAGTTAGACGAGAGTGTCGCGATACGTGTCTCACGAAAAATCGTCAAAGTTATTAGAAAAGTATATTCGATAGGAGGAAGAGGCAGGTGACAAGAAGATTTGCAGACGCATCTTGCCAGAGATCCGCAAACTCGTCTCCAAGTTACCAGAGAATCATGTTCGGCAAAGAGGTTAGAGGAGTTGGGAGGAAGATCTTCCGAGTAGAATCCTTCGTTTATTGGCTGACCAATGGGAGCTCCCAATCTTTCGACTAATGAGAGCTTCCAATCCTTCGACCAATGAGAGCATCAGCTGGGATGCGCGAGAGGGCGGGGGTTACAAGCGAGCTGGCGTCTTTGGGATACTTTTAACCTCTTCGCCAAGTATATTACTCGGATAACTCTGTGGATTTTTCGGAGGTTTCGAGAGACGCAAAATCCAATTCTCGATTAACCTGATATCGGAATATTTCTTTATGACAATGTTCAAGATGTTTTCAGTGTCTCGGAACGTTAATTAATTTTTGTTATTGTTTATTAGAAACGAATATTGAAATACTATGTTAAAATTTAATAATTATTTTATTTAAGCAATATTTGTGCAATATACGTAATATGCGGCATGTGAGAGAGCAAAACAATCATTCTTTACAAAATGGAGGAGTATATACATATATATATATCTCAAAATATTATATTAAATATTTTGTTAAATGTATTAATAAAGTGTATATTGCAAGTAATATTTTACAAGAATTTCTTTGAATATTCAATATTTAACATTTATGTTGATGTGCAAACATTCATTTTTTCCTTGATATAAATTTAAATAACAATGTATCAACATTTTATTTATTGTTGAATTAATCGCTATAATACATAAAAATCTAAAGATTATTAAAAGACAAAGATATCTGGAGAAATGCTTTGAAAGTTGATATTATAAAAGTTATTGTTCTTATTAATATAAATTATTTAAAAATTAATTGTTTATCAAACTTGTGCAAAAGATTATATAAAAAAAATTATTAACCAGAGGACATTATTAAAAGAAAGAAAAATCTACGAAATCTTTTTTAATCAATATGTAAAGATTTATCTTTTTCGTTTCTTATCTAAAATATATAAAAAAATATGCTGAACACTTAGTATCGCATTTGATTATAAATTTTAGTTGTTAAATAATATATATCATACGAGAATAATAATTATATATATATATATATATTTATCTTTCTCTACTTTTTATTTTCAAAAATGAAAGGATAATACTGATCAATCTTAATTGATCTATCAATGCTGCGACAATGTACAATAAATTTTATGTACAAGCCATTTGTAACATTTTATCAGAAATATATATTAAAATTTATCGAAAAGTTTATGTTTATTACCAATCGATCTCATGTTACTTGTATTATAAAATCTCATGTTACTTGTATTATAAAATTCTCGAAATTTTAGATTCTCTCTCCTCTCTCTTCTCTCGTTGCTTTTCTTTTGCAATTTCACAGCGAGATCATTGTGCGATTTCATAACGGAAGATACATTATTTTTATATCGAGTGTTGAACGAATAATACATTTTCTCGATTATTAAAATAAGTATTGCTAGGATCATACCACCTGCCACGACCGCCAGAGTTGGCGCTGTATCTTCTAATTCGACTATTCCAATAACCGGCATCGGAGCATTATTTTTTACAAGATATTTGTTTCTCAACTTGTTTATAACGCCATTAAGCTGAAATCGCCGTAACCTGAAAAAAAGATATTTAAGATATTATTTCTAAAAATTGAGAAGAAAATCATAAATAATTCAAATTAAATGTATATAATATTTCTTCATTGCAGCTGAATTATTTCAAACAATAGTAATATTTTAATAAAATTCTTGCATCACTAAATGGTCCAAGAAAAAAATACAGAATTTTTTATATTATTAAAAAATACATTTTAAAGAATAATATTAATAAAAATGTATTGATTTACAGCATTAAAATATGTTTGATGTTTCTTAATAAAAAATAATATGATAGTATTTTAAATAATAAAATCTTTATATAAATAAATAAATATATTAATAAATATATAAATAAATATATCTTTTGTACCTACTGGTAGTTCATAAAACCGGTGTAAGGACTTCCTTTCCTTAAAACTAACGCCAAATTATCGAGTCTTCCAGTATCGATATATACTAGTTTACATTTCATATAAACATTTGTGAACTCCTTGAAAATCTCCGTGGTATAAAACGCCAATTTCTTTTCGCAGACCTACATGAAAATTAACGTGAATTACGACTTAATAAGATTTAATGCCGTTTATTCCATCAATTAAATGATATTACTAACTTGCTTGAATCCACCCGACAATGACATTGGTAAGTATTTCTTCTCCAGTAATTCGTACATTTTTAAGAACACAGGATCCTTGATACGCTACAATTTAACATACAAAACTCAAATAAAAGATGTTTTTCAATTACATTAATTAGCTCTAATGTGTCTCCTTTTATGAGCATTTATCAGTAATATATTTATATTACAAAAATATACAAAGAATAATGTTTTAAATGATATATTTTCTATAAATAATATTAATAAATATTAATAAATTATTAAATTTCTTTTGTAAAATTTTTGTATTGTGTAATATTAATACTGTCAAGATTTTTTCGACTACAATAGCGAGAGTTACTTTATTCGCAATCGAAATTCTCGACTATTCCGCGACAAATCACTGTTGCGCAAAAATAATTTCTGCGCTTTGCGTAACAGCATAAGACACAAACTCACACTAGGGACGTCATTCTCGGCGCTATCTTTCATAACGATCAGTTTGTAAGAGCCGTCCTTAACGTATCCTTCCAGAGTGGAAAAAGGTAGGCTGGGCGTCTGGAGTGCTAGGGAACTGATCAACGAGGCAGAATAGATGGATAGAATTACTATCGACGAGACATAAATTGAGAGAAAAGCCAGCCTAGTTGGTGACTCGCTGGGAAATTCTAAAATCGTATAAAATATATGCGTTTTATTTGGACACTAAATAAATACACATTGGCATATTATATTGACGTATTAATTACTCTGGAACATTTATATATTTTTAATAAAAATTACCTGGCAGACCTTGTTGGCAATAGATGCCCCAAACCTGAATATAGTTTTCAGATATTAAGCTCATCGAGAAGTATCCTCTCGTCTTTATAAAAGTCAGCATAATAGAAGCAGCTATTATTACCGTTAATAACGTTAACCAAATTCCAGAACTGAACGTCTAAAAAGAAGCAAACTATCTCACTGAATCTGGATTTTATTATCAAATCTAAATTATCTTATTTTTTCTTTTCTCTGAAAGATGCAATTAATACAATATTAAATCTTTTTAATTTTAATATATTAATTTAATTTATAATATATAAATTTAATTTAATTTCCTTAATTAAATAATCATTAATTATTTTTAATCAAGTAAGTTTTTATAATCAAGATGTATATATTTTTTTCTCAGAATCGAAATTATTACCCTGAAGTATCCGGTCCAATGCACGTCTGAAGACGATATGGGCCGCTTAATATAGAGACGATTTCGCGACTGTATCAATGGCACTGTGAAGTCAACGACGTTTAATCTGCTGGTTGTTATCGTGAACGCAGAGGCACCGACGTCGGCCTTATTGTCGATCAATTGATTAATCGCCCCGGTCCACCTCTTCTTCTTCGGATTCCATATGCCGAATGAATCTACCGGGTCCAGAACCTTCATCGTGAAATTCATCACTTTGCTGAGTTCCATCAACAGCAGACCGAAAAACCCGTTGATCGTACCGTTCTCCATCCAGACCAGCGGCGAATTCTTCAAGCGTCATTTATCAACATAGCAGTCAGATCAATCTATCAACTGGTGTCTATGAGTCATCGTTAAATTTAAATTTTAATTAATTAATATCGAGAATTGACTTCTATCGTGACGAAGTTTTTTTTTACAAATTCTATGAGATCCTCGTTAAACTCGCGACAATTATTTAATCATTTAATTCGTAATGTTAAACTACGATCGCACGAAGCACAGGGAAAATAAAGACTTACGTCCACGAATGCCACGCGTATAACGTCACCGAACATATCGTTCCTTCTGGCGTAGAGGCTCTTTTGCGTCTTCAAGATTAGGCCTCTATCAGGAGACCATGTGGCCAGATCGAATGTCCTGATGCGATTATCGCGAATGGCGTACCACTCGACCAGGATCGGATGATCGTAACACAGGACCAGCATCAGAGTTCTGAAGTCTACGTTGAACACATTATCGGTAGGATGTCTGCAGTACTCCTCGAGGGGCTTTCCAGGGCGCTGAAGAAACATGATGAACCAGATGAAAGAAGAGATGGATCTTATGCTCTTCGTAGTCTCGATGAACTTGTTCATGGTCTCCTTTGAATCTAGGAGAACAACGAACAACGGCCGTGCGATATTTCTCCAGTACTTTGTATTGTAATCGCTTGTCAAGTTCGAAAAAGTTATGGCCACGGTCATAACTCGCTGCTGTGAGAATTCATGTGACCATGTGTACGTCAATGTCGTCATGTTGAAATCTGCGTTATTTGTATAAAGAATTGTATTATATTTTCAAATGTTAAATGCCTTTTAGATCACAAATATTTAATCTCTTCAAGAATAAATTTTTAAAATTAGGAAAAATTTATAGTACTTAATTTTTATTTATATTATTTAACATAAATTTATAACAATTGAACGAAAAAGAAAAAAATTTTTAAATATTGTAAAAAATTTGCCATATTATTTTCTTTCTTGTTTTTCCTTTGTTAGGAAATTAGTTATTATAATTAATTAATAATATAAAATTTTTCTACCTTGTAACATTTATTAGTGTATTATTATTTATTTTTCAATTAAAGCGTACTAAATAAACTTATTTAATAATACATTATACATATATAATAAAATGATTATAACATATAAATATAATTAGTAATTATTAATTTATAACTTAACTTTGCAATTTATAGATAATTTTAACATTAAATAACTTATACAATTAAACTTATACAATTAAAATAATTTGCTTATAATTCAATATTTACTTGAAAAATACGAAAGCTTTCTTCAGCCAGTTGGAAATGCAATGAAAAAAAATAGTTGGACTCGACCTTCTCGACACTTACCATGGTTGTCAGACAGCACAAAAATAATACACGAAGTACGATAATATCTGTGGACGTCATTGATCAGTTGAAAATAATTGTTAATGCCTATTTTTTCCGTTAGCGATTTAGTAGTCAACATGAGAAAGAGTATCGCGATCGATCGCGCTGTCATATATTTCATTCCGCGAAGCACAGTTTAAAAACAAGAACTAGTTCAAATAAACAGTCACACAAAACAACAGATTTATTCAAATAATTCGAATAAATAATGTGTGTAAAAAATAAAAATTTTATTATATGGAATCGTTTATTAATTTTTATTTAGTTTAATGTAATTTCGCTGAACGTGAACTTGACGACGAGACGTTACCCGTCTCTCTTGATTGTTATAAATAATTGTTAACAAACACGATAAATTGAAACTATCCTTCATGTAAATTAAAATATAAAGATAAAGATAAAAAGAAATACAAAAGCAATTAATCTTGATTCATTTATCTTAGTTCTCAAATTCTATCAACGATGACAACTCGGGAATCGCGGAATTTTTTAACGAAAAACGTGGTTATTGTTATCGAGAGCTAAAGAAAAAAAACACGTATTCCGTGATTCAAGGATGCGAATGCGCGACTGAAGCAAGATTGTCGAGAACGTTGGGATTTATCGAATACGAGAATCTAGGGGTTGCGCGAATAAGTGTCACCGAGTGGTATAAATGTGCCGCTGCATTATTACAAATTACATGGAGATACGCGACGGTACAATTTTTATCGGCAAATCATCGACTAAACCATAAATTGTTCGTTGTCGTTAAATTCCCCGCAACTGGCATATTTATCCGCGCATCGCTGACGACGATTACTATTTCACGTACGTCGACGTGCCTTAGCTTTTAGCTCGACGCATAACGATCAGTGCAAATTGAGATTTACACGTTTCACACGATTTCACAAAAAGGATGCAGCGCTAAGTTAAGGAAAGAAATATTTATATAGTATATAAATATTTATATATAATATTTATATATAACATTCTTCGTATTGATAACTTGATACATTGTTTAATTTTTTTTCCTGCCAGAAACATATTTTTTAATTACTTTATTTTAATATTCTGTGCACATCATAAATATAATATAATATCATAATATAATATCATTAAGCTTAAAATTTTTCATTGTTAATACTTAAGTATGTTCATATTGCAATTCTAGAAAAAGCAACACACAACACATATTATATACGATATAAAATAAAGAGAAAATCTTAAATGTTAATAATAATTAATTGTTACAAGGCTCTACAAATACACATACAACATATAAATAAGAAATTTTTTATCAAGAGAGAAGTAGGAAAATCCACATTAATAAAATTCCAAGTTTTATTTCAATTATTGTGCTTTTTGAACTTTTTTCTGGAATGATAGAAGACCTTCGATTGAAGCTTTCTTCTCCTCGACTGATAATACATTTTCTCTATAATCAGCATTACAATGCTTATAATAATGCCTCCGCAGAGAATCGCCAAAATTGGGATGACATTAGACATGCGAACCGGCACGTAAGTCTTGCTTTCAACCGACTGCGGCAAAAATCTCGTATCTCTCAAACGCATCAGCATACCGTTGTCCAAAAACTTCTGCAAACTGAAACAAACAATATTTTTGTAAATGAAAAAAAGATAATAACAAGCCGATATATATACTTTTTTAGAAACAAAAAGATCATAGTCGGTATTAATCGGCAGACAGGATTTTCTTCGTTCTCTTGAATATATATAAATTCATTGCCTTGAATATATATTCAAAAAAAAACAAAGAAAAAATTAAGATTCTGTCTATGATCTTCTCGAAAAAAAAAATCGGCTGCAAAAAGGACTTCTGAATTTCTCGCGATACCAACTGATAATTTATCACGCCTGTGTATGGACTGCCCTTGGACAGAACCATTCCCAAGTTATCTATCCTCTCGGTATTAATACTGGATACTTTGCAGGGAATTTTCGATTCCATGGTTTTTTTCAAAATATTTAACACCATATAAGCAACCTTTCTTTCATTACATACCTAAACAAATAGCGAATACATTATATAAAAAATTTTTTTAAATCATTTAAGTACTTTAAATCATATTATTTAAAAGAAAAATAAAATAATCTTTATGGAAAAAAAGAATTAAATAATTGTATTATTAAAATTGATTTCATATGCATTTGCCTCGACGTCGCACGTGTTAAAATACAGATATCAATCGTACTTGCACGAAGCCATCGATCAGATCCTCCGGCAGTTCCGATTCATCCTTCATTAATTTCATCAGTTTCACCGAGAAAGATCTCATCGACGTCTCATATTTTGCCTGAAACTGTCGCGAAAAACATGTGTTTTATAACACACAAGTAATTTAGTAGTAATTGCTCAATGTGGGTCAGAGCGCGAACGAGCAGACATTAAATCGCAATATTCAGTATTGCCGTTAGTCTGGCATAACTTGGGTCTTTCAAAGGTGTACGAACAGAAGTGAAAGTCGGATTCCTCGAGCGATTGAATAAACTTACAGAGATTACATCGTAGTCGGAACTGCCGCGTGTAACGATCAGCTTATAGCCACCGTTGTCGACGAATTCGTCTATCGTCTGAAAGGGTAAAACACGAGTGCAGGCCGTCAAGAAGCCAACTAATGCAGCTGAATAGTGGGCCACTATCATGACCGCCGTCAGAAATATCGTGAAGTATGCGATGCGCAACGATGACCTTCTTGGAAACTCTGAAGGATGAAATTCGATTTAGGTTTTAATTCTTTTTCGATTAATTTTTCTTCTTTCTTCTCGAAAAAGAAAAAAAAACAGATTCCGAACAATACCGAAATTAATTTCTAATTTGATTTAAACAATTTGTCGCGATTCTCTTTCGCATTCAAAAGCGTAAGAAAATCGCGAGATATTTTATAAATATTTTATAAATATATATATATATTTATAAAATATATATTTTAAATATATATAAAATATGTATTTTAAATATATATAAAAATATATATTTTATAAATATTTTGTAGACAAAGGGCTGCGTTAGGATTACTTGAAAGTTATGATTTTATTACAGGATAATACCTATAAGTGCCTGCTGACAGAAGATACCCCAAATGCAGATGAAATTCTCAGATATCAGATCGACGGTGCTCCGAGATTCGCGATACGCTTTCATGAAAAACAGGAGGAGCGGCATGACCGCTATTAGCGTGATAATCATGGCCCACGTGCGCGAGTGGAATGTCTGTCGCAAGTTAAAAAATTAATTCTAGTTCACGGTTTTTTTTAAGAAGGAAATATCTATCTTTGCATTTTATTTCCGAGATAGCGTTAAACGAGATAAAAATAAATCAAGATTTTAACGGTAATCAATTACCTGGAAATAACCGAGCCATTTGACACCACATATTCCTGGTTCCTTGATGTACAAACTGTTTCTAGATATGATCAAGGGCAATGTGAAATCGACGTAACGTATTCGAAAGCTCGTCATCGACATATCAGCAACGGCAAAATCTGCGCGACCTTCTACTATCTCTCCCATCACTCCGGACCATGTATCATTTTGCGGATTCCACAAACCGTGCTCCTTCATTCGCGCGACAATTTTTAAGGTGAAGTTGAGGGAATACGCGAGCTCTTCCAACACTTTCCCGTATATACCAGCCACGTAATTTCCAGTGTGTTTCGTTGAAATCGACAAATCCTAAATTTGCTTACTTCCAGTTAATAGGTATAAATAGGAAATTTATTTTATAATTATTAATTTTATTGTAAGAACTTCAGAGAAATAATATATATAAATAATATATATAATATATACGCTTTTAGAATTAATTAATAACATATATTGGTAAAAATATTTTGAATTAAATTTCCTTATTGCATTTATATTATATATCTTGTATTTTGTATAAATAAATATATATATATATATATATATATAATAAATTTAGCCGAGCAATATATAATATTGAGTCTAAGAAAATGATTGAATAAAATAAAAATTATGTTCCTAAGAATTAAAAACGTGATCGAGCTATTTAATTCAAGTTAAATATCTTCAAATATATATTATTATACAATTATATACAAAATATATAAATTAGTTATAAATTAATTGCAAAGATGTATATATTTACATATACCCTATACATTATAAAGATCATCGAATTCTATCAAGCACCTTAACCGTAACTATTCGTAGAATAGTCCCCTCCATGTCGTTTCTCCGGTCGTAAAGAGATAAATTTGTCAAAGGCATGAATCCTTCCCCATCCCACTCTGCTAAGTCAAAGACTTTGACAGTTTCACCGTCGACCGAGTACCATTCTTGTAAAATTCCCGCGTTGTGGCATAATACCAGCATCTGCGTGTCGAACGCCAAATTGAAGGGATTGCCTACCGGTTCGTGGCAATAATCGTGAGTGTCGTTGGCGGGGGTGTAAAGAAACAGCGTGAACCAAACCGAGAAGTTCATGGGATAGGTCTCGATGGCCTCCGAAAACTCCAGATACGCATCGAAATCGGGTAAGATGACGATCATGACAGGCTTGACTATTCGACGATGATATCTGAGTAAGTTCTTCATCCTTTTGAAGTAGACGTTTGCGGTCACCACATAACGTCGACTCAGCAAACGGGTGGACGAATGCATCAAATGCATGATTTGTAAATCTACAGCGAGAGTTTCACAAATTCAGCTAAACCTTTTTGTCCAATTCTCTCATTCTCATTTCCATCAGTGTAGATTTACTTCGATCTCTTCCATTTTTACTTTTTATTCTTTTCTTCTTCTTCAGAATTATACACTCAGAAAAAGAGATTAACTTGATTAAATTTTTCAAATTAATTATATTTGTCAAGTATTTAAATTAAATATATATTTGAACTAAATAAATTTAATCTAGTTGAAAAACTTAATTAAGTTAATATTTTTTTTCTTAGTGTATAAAAATAGAAAGTGGATTAACTGAGAAAATTAAAGAAAATTGATCGAAATAATCCATATTAATCTACATTAATGGAAATGGGGATTAAAAAGAAAAAATTTATTTAATAAATTTAATAAGGATTTTGTTCAACAAGTTTGGCATTCTGTCGAAATCTTGAAAAAAGAATATCAATAAATTCGCTTAAACGCGATTTTGGCTTCCTCTGCTATCACCATCTTCGCAATTTTGTCGAATTTAAGGAAAAGCATCGGAAGATATACTTCAATAGTTGAGCCATGCAGAACTGTGACTGCTATTAATCGCGATGATCGATGAACGTTGCGGTGTTTATTGACTAAACATTTAGTTAAATTGACATGTGCGCGAGGAATGTCTAAGCAACAATAATACTGGTGCCATTTTGAAAATATTTCGAACTGACCCCCGTATTCCCCGTGTTTGTCTCCAGGATGGGCGAATATAACGGTCGTCGCGGAGTAAAATTTCCGAACGTCCAGTATCACGTCGACGAAAACGTCGATGTTGAAGTGAATCGCCGAAATATTGAGAAAGACGAAAAGCAATGTGGGACACACCGAAAAGAGCGGTAATCTCATTCCGTTGCCGTTTGCAGATTGTACGAGGGTTTATAGCGCGATAGATCGGGAAGACTAACTAAACGGCTAAAATTTCTGCTAAGCGGGACAAACGCCTTCATATCGAATATTACGAGGGGTAGATATAAATGCAGGGACGTAGGTGCACATCAAACAATTCAATCGCGATGATTCCGTAACATTACAAAAACAACCGCAACCTCTTTCGATCGCTTCCCTTCTTTACATAATCGTTAAATTAAAATGAAATTAACTCAGCGAAATTTTTTTAGGGATATTCGTATCGAACATAAAATTAATATAATATATAGAAAAAAATAAATAAATGTAATTACGTAATTAACTAAACGTGAGGTAGTCACTTTTTCCTGTCAAGTATTAACGTCACGATGAAAAGGAAAAATATTTCATTGGATATTCTGAAAATATTTACATCGAATAAGTGTGCTCAAGATACCGAGGTGTGATTAATTTTTAGATTAGATCTACAATGAGTCACTGATGACAGCAGTGAGTACGGAAGTAAATGTAAGCGCAGATTGCAAGATTTCTGCAGTATGCAGTCGGTTGGGGAGATCAATCGACGACGAATTTCAGAATGTCAATGTTGATATCCGCCCCTGGACACGTCTATAAGTGCACACATAAATATATAATAAGGCATCAGGTGTACATTCCGCGAGCATATACATCGATATCAGCTCCATTAGAAAATTACGATCGAGAAATGATCGGCAGATCGCATCTTAAACAGGTGTTTGTCAGAATGGCTATTATTGACCGCTGTGCGGCTGATGGACAGACAATTTACTTTACTTTTTTTCTCAGTCCTCTTGAAAATCGCACAATCATTTTCACCAGATAGATTGAATTAGATATCGCGTGTATGTAATTTATTATAGATATACATTTTTATATATGATAATTATTATATATATAAAATTTTCAATAATTTATATATATTTAGTTTGAAGAAATAATTGTGTGATTTTCAGAAAAGATAATAAAAGATATTAAATACGTATTAAATATAATAAATATATACAAAAATTAATTATATACGGAATATATAAAATATATAATATATATATTTAAAATATATAATTATATAACATTGTGTGAAAATTTGCAATTTTCAGATAAAATAAAGAAAAGTTTATAATATATAATTTATAACATACGATATTTTTGATGAAATATTTTCGAAATATAAGATGCATACACTTGTTATTACACGTAACTTCAGATTCTAAAAAATAAGTAAGTTATCTGATAAAACAAATCAGATAATTAATAAATAAATCACAACGGCAGCGCTGTGAATTGTGAGCAGTTATTATTTTTAGACTATAATCGATTATATAAAAAAAAAAAGATCCAAGAAAAATACAGAAAGCGACGTCAAACTTGTAATGCGTTTCTATACATCTGTCATATCTGTTTGTACAATTGCTTTTCTGTCTAATGCTTGGATTACTTTCGAAGTTTATACATATAACATGATTCATCGATCGACGGGTCAGAGAGAGCTGGACATGGTCAAATTCGCGTAGTAATCATCATGGCACCGACAAATGATTCAGCGACAACCGTGCAGACAATCAGCCTTGTTAATTCTACTATTATTGTGTAAAATTGCTAATTTATAAGCAATATTAATAAAAAAAAAATAGGAATACTGATATCATCATTCGATTAGAGATCAAGAGGTAACTGTCACTGACGTCAACATTTTCCTATTTAATAATTTCTACCTTAGTAAAGCGGTCTTCTCGAATAATCGCAATTTTATCAATTAATTAATATTAGTACACTGCATATTATTTTCAGATCACTCTTAATCGCTGCAATTGTATTATATTTTTCATCCTACGTATCCCAATCTTATTTAAGCCTTTTTCCAATGACATCTTTATATCGCGTTGCTTTCGCGAGATATTCGGAAAATCGGAATGCATAAACAAATGATTATTTACAAATTTTCTCATTGACGATGCAACTGACATCCATTCGTCGCAAATTTCCATAGACAAGGACGCTTCTATTCGTAATCGCGCGAAATAAGTAACTTTTGCCTTATCACTTCGCTCGTTCGTAATAATGCGTATAGCAAAAGTTATATAAATGTCACGTCGTTGGCCGCGTGCGCATATAGAATACATCTAGAAAACATAACTCTCTTGCGTCACTCTATGTAAAACGTGCTGCAAATGAACGTGCGCACTTTTGCCCCCTTTACTTTGCAGATGGTTCTGGACCGTTCCATGCCTCTTACAAAGCCGTTATTTTGCCAGTTCATAAGTTCGAGGAACATATATAATTGTGACATGAGAAGTGCTAAACAATATTATGAAAATATTAAACAAAAATGTATTGAGAAATAAGAGAAGAACCAATTATAATAAGCATAACACGAACATATATTGAATAGTTCTTGAATATATAATTTATTAGTATTTATTTTTTTATAAATTATCCTTTTTTAACATTTTCTTATTTAATTAAAAAATTAAATATATTCTTTTATCTTGTCTTAATAAAAAAAGAAGTTAAAAACTTCAACGATCAAAACATATGATAATATTTAAAAAACAAACATGCTGTAACTTACATAAAAAGTTGACTAATTTGTCTAAAAATATTACAATAAATAACATTAATATATTTAGATGTATATCAAATATAATAAAATGAGATATAAATTGTAAAATATAAATTAATAATAAAAGAAAAGAACTTTAAATATTTCCTAAATTAATTAACTAAACAATATTCCTTACTTAGTATTTGTAAATCTATAGTTTGACTTAGAAAAACAAGTTTTAATATAAGTAGCTAAGAAAAAGAAAGAATTGACATATTTAGCATACCTTTTATGTAATAAAATTTATATCTTAAATATGAAATGGAAATATATATAATTTATTTTCGTGATATTCTACGATTATTTTCAGGATTCACACATGTTATCAAAGTTAAAACTGTGCAGAAAACATTCTCGTGTGGTTTTTCTCAAATGACAATCCACCAAAACATTTAATTTTAATATCTCAATTGGTTCAATTTTAAAAAGAAAAACGTGTATTAGTCTCCATGATGCAACGCAATAAAACGATGCTGTCACATTCACCGTGAATCATCGTAAGTACAACGTTACCACGTGACAGACATCTGTCAAAATAGGCAGACTCACTCAAAAATGGCGGCGCGCACGGCGATTTCCGCCGTTCAAACTCGTTCTGCTTTTTTCAATTTTACAACCTGTTTTCCATCCGAAAATCATCCTATCTCGTGACAAAATTCTTTCCGCTGACATGTCCTGATCCCGGCAAAAATTGAAGGGGAAAAAAAAGCAATTAGAAGGGAACGGCTCCAACATATCGACATCACCGGAAGTGACTGCGGTGTCTGGATGTGTGTCGACACTGTCGACATGACGAACGGTAGGACGGTTATCGATCGCGTATAAAAGCGAGCGGCGCGGCGTCATTTCTACAAACGACGTGTGACTGTCGATAGGGTCGCGCCAAAGAGAGTCTGGAAGAAGAGATAATAATTGATAATATTTGTTTTCCGTTCCACGTCAAGCAGAATAGTTGACAGTTGGCTCGAATAGAGACGACATCGCGTGGAGAATAGTGTTGTAGAGTCTAAACGACTACGTGATAGTACGACGATGGCCCAGTATAGTTTCAAGGTGTATCTGGTGAGGGAGGACCCGTGGACCACCTGCACGGAAGTGCGCAGATTCGGCATCGATGCCGACGTCGCGACGAATTTCGTGTACCTGTACGAGAAACTGCAAACCATCTTCCCGAATCTGCGTGGCAAGAGTTTCACCGTCACCTGGAAAGGCAAGTTCATTCGCGTCTATTTCTCTTTCTCTCCCTCCCTCTCCCTGCCTTGCTTAACGGAGCTGACGTCAGAAATCGACGTTGTTTATCAACGATCTTGTGCGTTATCCAACGTTTCGCGTTCTGCATCGCTTTTCGTAAACTAACGAAAGCTGTTTAAATCGTTCGAGCGATTTTACAATGCGAGCGAATCGAATCTGAAATTCTCACTTGTTCGTTCCACACTTTCTCCTTTTTGCTCGTAACGTTGAAGGATAAAGCTGGCGTCTTTGTTCATATTTCTTTATTTTTTTTCTTAGACCGATAATGATTTAAAAATAAAGATCACTACAATTGTCCATAAATATATAAAAAATACATTATCAAACTTTTATTTATCTGTTTAACTTGGTATTCTAATGCTTTGATATGTAATGTAAAATTTGTAATAAAGAAGGCTAGCTTCCTTTATCTTTCCTCATTCCTTTTGTTTTTTTTTTCTATGCAAGTTAAATGCAAAAAGCATTTATAATGACTTTCAATATATTGGTTCTCACACAGTCAAAATTCATGAATTTGTTTTACAACATAATCTTGTAATATAAAAAGTGATAAAATTATTAGAATATGATGAATCTTTATTTTGTACTAGAGTATTATTTATATATTAATAAGAAAGAATATTAAATTTGTATTTTGTATTAACAGACTCTGAAAATGAAACCATTACGATATCTACCAACGAGGAATTGGAGCTTGCATTATCAGAAATGTCCAAGAATGATATCTATAAACTCCATGTCTGGCTGCAATCAGAGCGAGACATGGATGACGTCCCGAAAATGGAAAAGATCCTGCATCCCGGTGTAGTATGCGACGTATGTGACAAAGATATACGTGGCTTCCGCTTCAAGTGCATACAATGTCCAGATTATGACCTGTGTACCAATTGTATGATACTTGGCAATCATGCAGAACATTATATGGTCCGTATGACGCAGCCGATCGAGTATCAAAACCATCGATTCGCTCACCACATGCAGAAATTCATGAAGAAGGTACATCACTGCATGGAGGACAAGCATAAATGCCCAAAGCGAGGTAGCTGTCCAATATACTCCGCCACACATAAATTTAGTCCTTTTGATCCGTTTGTTGTAAACCTGGCGAATTGCACTTATGCTGCTCCATCAGATGGAAATCGTGAGCGGAAACGGCCTAAGGAACAACACAACAACAGGGAGCCATCTGCCGAAGCTGCGACCGAGGCGACGGAGGACCCGCAGCAGAAAGCAACCAGACACACTTTCTCACAGTTGCTTAAAATTGTTGAGGACAACATCTCCAACATCTCGCAGTTTCTAGATCCGCTCGGCATCAACGTCACCGTGATGACTGATAACGATTCCAACAAGAAAAAGCCTGCTGACAACGCTCAGGCGAAATCTGACACGCAGAAACCTGGGGCCCGTACGTCTACCTCAGAGGACACTGCTAAAAAGTTTCCCGGCGAGGGAAAGAAACTGCGTGATGAACAGCCTGTAAATGCTGCAGCTGGTCCTTCGGCGGATAATGCATCAGTAACATCACAAAAAGATTTGGCAGGAACTTCTACTGAACAAGCAGCCGAAGCCGAGGAATGGACGATGATACAACGTGACAATTCAAGCCGCAACTCCTCAGCATCTTCTATCATCTTGAATGAAACGATATCTCCACAGGTAGCTCCACTGCTTCTCATATATGTAAAATAAATAATCAAAATATGAAGAATTAATAAAATAAGAAGTACAACTATACCTAAAATATATATAATTATAAAATGTTACTTTAAATTATTAGGAAATTACAACACCTGCAAAAAATGATTTAACATACATAGAGTATTTATAGAAAAAGAATTCAAGACTTGAAAAACGCCAAAATCATCTGCAATGTCATCCTGACTTTGCAGATGAAATCATTTTGAGCTCTAACATGACTAATTTTTTTAACTGTTCTTAATGATCTAGCTTAATGAATACCTATTCCTCAAGTCTTGAACCCTTTTTACTGTACGTGTAGCACGTATTCAGAATACCTCATCTTACAGGCAATGTCATCTCCGCCATCTGCACCCATGGCAGAACCAGAGAAAGCAGCACCGTCAAGTCAGGGAATCTACCCATCCTTACCTGAAGAAGTAAGAAATCAGTCGTATCATCCAAATCCCAAGATCCAACGCGCCGTAGAAGCGATGATGGCAATGGGATTCACTAACGAAGGTTCATGGCTTACTCATCTGCTGGTTGCACAAAATGGTGACATAGATAAGGCGCTAGATGTAATACATCCGGTACGTCGTCATTAGGAAGAATGGGGTCAAAATTTTAGCCGAGGATATATGGTAGTATATAACAATAAAAATTATGTATGGTAGTATATAAACAATAAAAATAACACTTGATGTAACTTTCGATAGCTGGTACAATAGTTTGTAACTATTATTATTCATTATATAATCACGCTCTGTTGAATTTATTTAGCACCTCTATTATGATTTTAAAATATGAAAGTATATTTTACATCCTTATTAAATTATATGACACTTTTATGATGATATTTTATGATTTTTTCTTTATATCGTTAAACTTATGCATACATATATACTACAATAGTTTTAAGAAATTTATGCACGATATATTCATATCCTTAATATTATAAAATCTTAAAATATTTTTGGTGATTGGATTATGTATTATTTTATGCTAATAAAATAACCGTACCAGTAATAAATTTTTTAACTGTTTCTTTTTGACCTTTAAAATATTTCTATTAAAAACGAAATATTTCACAAACGAAATTAAAAGTAATTTTACATAAAAATTGAAGAGCACCAAAAAATTTTGCAAATTTTATTATAAATATCTTTATACAATTATCTTTATAAGAATTTACAGTGATCCATTAAGACAGCTGGGTTCTTATTGGTAATTAATTCTAATTCTCTTTGACCATCAGGCGTTATATTTCTGATCCATTTACGATCTTTATAATACTCTATTATGCTGTCGAATTCTGTGACATTGTAATTATCAACTAAAATGGGTATGAAGGGATCCAAATGTTCGAAACCCTCTTTACCAAGTAGATATCTGGGAAGATAAGATTCTCGTCGTTCCTGAAAATTAAAATATTTTTCTTAGTATTATTATCCATCCATGCGAATTTTGAGTAAGAATCAGTTTCCTATTCTTCGATCTAAATAATTTATGAGATTAAATATCTATATCTATCTTTTATTCTAACACAAAAAATCATCTAATTACGTAATATAAGTTATTATACATACTTTAGTTGCTCTCTCGTCTACTGTTAATACAACTGCACCGTTGCACCAATCGTCTTCCGTTATATCAAAGAATGGTCTCGCCAGCGAGACCTGTTTGGGCAGAATCATCATCTTATTGTCATCGTAGATGCGCGTATGATTCGACGTAAACGCGTTGAATCCGTCTATCACAACCATTGTCTTGCACTTCCCTGCAATACTGGCGAGCTTCAGTTCTCTAATCAGTGCATCTACCACACCACAGGCATATTTTATGCGATTTATACCGAAGTCGATGAGATCCAAAATAGGAATACCTTGCGAAGTCATTTCGCGTTGATTCCATGTATAATCTTTAGATGTTTTCAGCTTCACAAATAAGTGCAAAATAAGTATTCAATAAGTATAATTAATAAAGTAATATACTGAGATACACGTACATCTAATTGCGAAAATAACTTCGAATTTTGAATTTTGAAATGTTTCAACCATAATCCAGCATCAACAGGTAAGTCCATGCAACCTGGGGATAATATTGAAGTCGCGACTTCCTTCATGTCCTTAAACCAATGAGGAGCTGAAAAACAAATAATTAATCACATAATTAATCACATAATTAATAGAATTACAATATCAAAATAAAAAAAATAATGTGTTTATTATTTATATAGAAAGACATACCCCAAGGTACATGAATAAGTACATAATTTTGCATAAAAGCATAATGCAATATGTGACTTAATGTAATACTTTTCCCTGTCCCATATATTCCATCTATTTCATATTGTTAAGGCATGTATAATTTATATAAATTTTAAACAAAATATAATAAATTACAAGAATGTAAGCAATAAATTATAGAAAAAACAAAACCATTCTATGATTTGTAATACAAAAAGATTTCATTTCTAAAAGGATACATAAAATATACTTATTGACAGGCCTTGTATAATCAGCCTGATTGAGATAAGACATAATTTCAATTGCAGGTTGCCTGATCAATATCGAACATTCTTGGAAAGTGGTAATTTGCTTCATAAATGTTCGGGGAAGGCCACCATAGTGAAAGAGTTGCTGCTGAATGTCTGTTGGTATTGTATATAATCTGGCAATGTAATCAGTGTTGTGATTAACTGGATTGTTCTCTATTGTACGAAAAGAAGATATTTGATTCTCTTGTTCATTCTTTATATTAACAGCCATGCTAAATTTTCTGCCATACAGCTTGTATATTCCTCTCAGAAACGAATCTACAAATAATATATTCATTGAACTTTTTTGTACTTTTCTAGTATATATATATATTTTTTTTTACATATTTTATTTTTTTTACTCAGATCGACTTGATGATTAATTCAATCAGCAAAATCTTTTATAGTAAAATTATTTTATATATAATATAATATATAATTATTTTATATAATTTGTTATTTTATGTTTACTCTTTCTCTCTTTTTGTGTCAGAAAAAAAATTGAAATTTCGTTTATGTTAACAAAATATAAATATTAAGACTTGACAAGTTAATCAGAATTACTTGAAATCATCTATACAGTAATAAATACATAATAATCTTGCAAGCTAAATCATTGTCATTAACTGAATAAATTAATCACGATCAGTCATTGGGAATAAATGAAATTTTTAAGAAATAAAATATATAATGATTATCCCAAGTGCAATGTATCATATGTAAAGAGTTATCGATTAAATTGACATTAATAAATTAAGCATTGACATAAAAGAAATCTCACATGAACGTAAAGACATTGTGTTGTTTTTTTTCTTTCAGAACACGATTAAAACACGTTTCACTGCAATTATCTTGAATCTCTTTGAAAGTTATATGATTGAATATATCCAATGATGTCGTGCACTGCATTCGACATAACCTGTTTTGAAGAACATACACACATACCAATAGCACCGAGTATAATATCCAGTATTCTATTTCTTAGGGACAAAACATCACTAAATAAAATCCCTATAAAGTATAAATTCTATGGAATATCGAATTAAAGTTGCAATAATTAAAATATAATTTTAAATTTAAAAATTTTATAAAATTATTTATATATGATGTATTTTTTATAATATAAACTTAAATTTTATTTTAACTTAATAATTTAAACATAAATCTACATCGTACAATTTAGCTTTTATCAAACTCAATTTAATTCTTCTACAAAGTAGATACAGTATTAAATAAAGCATTGCTCGAAAGAATAACATACCTAATTCATTTTATTCATTCACGTATTCCCCAGTCGCATTTACGTATTTACACTCGTAACATGATTATTTATAATAATCTTTCTTCAGTTAGCTGTTACAATGGAACAATCACAGATCATATTGGAATCCCGCCGATTTTCCATAAAGGAAATAATTTATGTAAATAATAATATCCATTATATGTTAGATAATTAATTGCTACAAAATATATGCCCGATCCTTGTAAAATCCCGTAAGAGTCTTATAATATTCTTCTTATTTCTCCCGCGCGATATAATTCATATATTAACATTATATAATCGCTACAAAATATTATTTTTATGTATTATATACTATTTCACGCCGTTCTTCTCATGGAAGGAAATAATTTATATATCAATATCAAGCGCTAGAAAATGTGCCCAATCGTCGATAGAGATCTGTTAAAATCCTCGGACTCTACAAATAGTGAAGCCAGATGAAAGTCTTACACAAGGCCTTTAGGTATCAGAAAGAAGATATAAAAACGATCGCTGGCTCATTTTTTTCGCAAAAGGAGTCCTCGTCACACGTAGAATATGTTGTTTAGGAAGGTACAAAAGAATCTATGTAAAGATAAGATCTTTCATGTGCTTTACAACGCTCTTATGTCTTAATCTCGATGGAATCGTCGGCACTTGGACCCGCGATAATGACACTATTGGCAGTAATAGCCGTTTCTAGCCGATGGTCGTTTTTCGTATAGTTGTTGATTTTCTTGCCGTTCAATATCATCAGTTCCGAATGTATCCTGAAGTGCAGTCTAGATTCCAATAAGTAACCCGTATAATTTTTTCTAAAAATTTAAACGCAGTTAATTTTCGATGTAACTAACAGTATAATTAAAATATGTAACTATGTATATGTATTATAAAATATGTAACTTACTTAGCGTCTTCCAAGAAGCCTATGGCCAACTGAGTATCGCCTTGATCCTGAGCCAATAATGCTAATTCTACGGTAGCGTAAGGAAATAAGTACGTGTCCTCTTTGACAGATTTTTCTAGTTGTAAAACACGCTGTAAACACTCCTGTGCCTGCAAAGGATGTTGCATTTGCCGTAGACAAGCGCCCTTCAGTAACATCAGCAGTGCTTCGTTGTCCGCTTGAAAATCATTTTTCCTGCAAAAATATATTCTTTGTAATAAGAAAAAATTTATAATTAACAAAACTACTCTATTTGAGAAAATCGTAAAATATCTAGATGATCAAATCGATGAAAATAAATTTTGTAAAATGTTTGCAAATTTTGTCTAAACGCTAGCAGAAATATAGAAAATAGAATTTGTTGATAGAATATGATGGCAAAAATCAAATAAGTTTTACTATTTCATCATTTAAATAATATTTATTATATTCCACTTAAAGTTATGAAACGATAGATTCTTCGCGATTTCTGTTAGTCAATCAGTTGCTTCTTTAACAAAACATGAGATGTTGATCATAATATTTATGATCATATATATGATCGTAATATCCTCGAACTTGCTGATAAACTATATTTATCATTTATCTTTTATTAACATTTCTGAATTGCTTTTTTTAATTTTATCACTTATTTTGTATATGTAATAAATTTTAAGTTTATTATTTTTTCCTATTTCAAGTTGACTTACGCAATTGTATATCTTATAATGCGTACTTATTGCATGCTAAAATAAAATCAGATTCATTAGAAAAGCTTACATTGATTTAAGTTGCTTCTCCTCTTCCTCTATTCTTTTAAATATATTCAGTATCAAATCTTGCCGTTTGCCTATTATCCTGAATAAATTCCACACATACATAAGCTCGAATATTGGTACAATTAGGTTCTTCTTTTGTGCAAAATAACGCTCCGTTCTCTTGACAATAAATTTCTCCATCGGCAACGATTTGCCCGCGATGCGCTGCTTATAAGTCGGCGCCTGCACCATCAGATTGTCAATCATCTGTTTCTCCTCGCTCCAGATTGATGGCTTCTGCATGATCAGGATCGCGGCCTTCTGATACAAATACATGGTACGTGACCAGTTGGACTCCTCCGCCAACATCGTAGCGTACATGACCGCCTTGTTCCACTGCTGCATCGAGCAGTGCGTCCACATCAATTCCCAGTAACAGAGATGATGAAACTGCGGCCAAGCGTTCTGACTCTTCCATGATTTTATATACCAGTCTATGCACTCTTCGAAGTTACCCCGCGTGAGTTCCAATCTTCCCTTGAAAAATAGGAACCATACACCATTCGGATAGAGACTTAATTCCTGCTCCAACACCCGTTCGCACCACTCTAAATCACCGTCCGAGTGGGTCAGTACAAAAGTGACGATCAAATTGTAGGATAGCAGTGTCATCACGCATAGGATTTGTCGCAGGCCCCTTCTCTCGTTGTAGCCCGCTTCCAATTCCGCTAGACCGTATTCCTATTGATAATAATCAAATTGAACTTTAGACGCAAATTGAACTTTAGACGCATATTTTTACATATATAACATATTATCATATAATATATAATCTATAATCACCTTATCGCCGGAGAATCCGATAAACTCTAACAATTTAATAATACGCGCTGGTAATAAAGAGATCATCTATGAAACAGAATACAATTAAAATATATACGGTAAGATAATATTCGTGTCGCAATCGGAAAAATATATAGAAACATACTAAATTGAACGCGCCGATGCCCATACGAACGCCGCTTTCGAAATGCACTTTGTGAATGTCGTTTCCCCACTTGCGATTTTTCAAGATCGTCATGCATTCCCTATAAAAGACAATAGTTGTGACTCATTGGAGGAATTGAAGATCGACAGGAGTCCATTTGCAACTTATTTACTTGTACGATAGAAAACAGGTACGAATTTTCAGTCCTGCCTTGACAAAGCTGACCAGAGTTTCGTCCTCCACAAACGTGAGCATCGATTTTAAGAGGAGCGACTCAGCATAACAGAGCTCCGCATGCACTTCCTCTGCAAGATTAATTCTCGGTCATTCCTTTCATGCACTATCCTTACGTAAAAGTTAATTTGGCTATATCTGGGTTAATATTAAGTTAATTTGGCTGTATCGATTAATTTGTAAAAAATGCCTTGGCAACAATTTCTATTAATACAATTATAAGCAACAAAAGGAGCAAAAGTAATGTTAAACTTAAAAGGAAAACCAACAGGCACGTGTTAATATCCACTAAGTCTATCTATAAAAATCTTGTCAAAGAAATTTGAATGTAAATTTATTTATTCCAGGCATTAATAATTTCGACGTCATTTATGTTAGATAATATTCATTAGATACGATGAGAAGTTATTACAAACAGATACTGCATGCTATCTTGTACATATGCAATACATAAATGCAATGCATTACCATTTGTATAAGTGTCGTAGTTAATCTTCTTGACCATTTTCCCAATGTTCTGCGTGATAGTGGTGTGCTTGCGATGTTTGGAGCATACGCTCATACACTGCTTCAACATCTCTGACGCCTTCTCGATGTGTTTCTGTATACAATACAATTGTTATAAGAGACAAATTTTGAGCGATTCTATAAATAAAAAATGATCGGAGCATAATGAATAATCAAAATACTTGTTCAAGAGTCAGGATCGCCTCTAGAAATGCGAATACGCTAGCCCCTAGGGAGTGATACATGCTGCTGTCTGCCCATGGCTCCAAGATTTTTCTCGCCTGATTGAAATCGTTGTTGAAAAAACAGTGCATCGCTCTCTTCGCCTCCATTATCGCTGTATCCAAATCCATAGAGGCGAGTCTGAAGGAAAAAGTGATTTTTTTTTTTCTTAAGAAATTTATAGATCTCAAAAAGAAAAATATTTAAATAAAGTATAAACAATTACGACACGTAACAAAAAATAGTAACAAAAAATAGTCTTAAATAAAAAATGTTTGCAGAGTAAAAAAGTGTTTTAATAGAGATAACATTATAATTAATTACAACACGTGCTATAATACATAATAAAAAATTCAGAACAAAAGATACTTGAAAATAATACAGGTATAATACATGTATATAATGTATGATACATACTGTGGCAAAGATTCTTGAGCATCTTGAAACTGAAACATAAAAAATTTTCAATGCATATTGAATAATTCAGTTATATAACTGCAGGAAAGATACACTAATAAACTGTCTACCTCATCATCGGCTTCGACGTCCGACATCTTCAATTGATGTTAGTGAATCGTTCTGCAACAAATAAGAAATAATGTCACAAAATTTGTCTTATCTGTAATATCAATCGTCAAATGCGTTAGATTACACATTAAGATTATCGAGATCTAATTGTTACAGCATTTGTATTACGCTATTCTAAAACATGCTATCGAAATTTATGCAGTGCGCTAATTTTGCGTTAAGAGAAACGAGGCCACATGAAGAACTGAAAAAAATACTGCTGACTGAAAAATATTGCATTTAGAAAGTTGCAAATCGATTTTAAATCGCATTTAGAAAGTAACGAAGTTAATAATCTGCCAAGCAATATCGTGTATGCCTGCAGGAAAATAATTTCCGGTTTTATCGACGAGACACGAGCTTGATTATCGATAATTAACTGATAACTGATAACACAAACGCTGGAGGTGAGGCAAAATTTGCCCACCATCGAAAATTTCGCAGAACATCGAACGAAATCGACGAAAATGTCTCACAAATCCTCACGGACATTAAGGAAAATGCAAAATGCCGTTTTCGACGTGAGCGGTTTAATGAACGATGCTAAGATAAAAATTATATTATTCAATAATTGGCGAGCAGTGACGATATAATTATGCCAAATGAATAAGGAAAATGACGGAAATGTAATGAAACGTTGCCTGTAATGAAAAGCGTTGCACAATCTCGCATGTACAGGATTCCGCAAAATAGAGCCTTGCCTATTTCGAAATATTTTTAAATCCGGTATCTTGTAACTATTTCCCGCGATATTCTGGAATGAGTATTCCACAATAAACGCGCGCTATCGTAGTGGCATCCAGTTGATTTGCATTCGTCACAGCGCGGGAATTACTGTCATGCTCGCGACGACAGTCGAGCGGCTGAGGCCGCGGCACGCACGGGGACGAAAGTTCGTTTTAATTTCAACGCGAAAACGCGAGAGACGCAGCGCGCGTATAATGGACAATTTAACTTTCTTTCCTTGTCTCTCGCGGTTCCCTCCTCGGTCCCACTCGCCATAATTTCACTTCGCCGTGGAGGCAACGGGGGCTCGAAATCGGGGCTGCGAAGCCTCGTAAGCGTTGGGGGAGCAAGAACTCGCGGCAAAGCTTAACAGGAAAATAAGCTAATGTAAGCTAAATTGCTTTTTATATATATATATATATAAATTGTAACACGTCAAAGAATCAACAGTATTCTTCAAGAGCGATAAAGAAATGAAGACGAATGACACTGCACATTCCACCTCACGAATCGTCGGTATTCTTGAGGAAAAGAAAATGATTTTCCTTCATCGCGCCCTCGGCGAGGCCAGTCTCACCAGAATCGTCTCGGGACGCGCTCGATGATGACAACTATGAATGACTCCGAAGAACTCCGCGAGAAATCGTACCTCCGGACGAGGAATCCGTCTCTCCGGAGTGTCGGTCGGTCGTGAGGAACGATTTCGGATCTTCCCGCACGTGGAAAGTAGACTGCCACGAAGAAAGTATAGGCACAGGCTAGACCTACATTTCCTAAATCCGCGCACGCGGCGGGAGGAGGATGATAGAGGTAGTGGTGGTGGATGAGGATGAAGAGGAGGAGGACGAGGAGGAGGAAGAGGAGGACGGAGAAAGCGCGCGCACTTCGCGAATCCCGCGGATGCGAAGTGCGCGACCGTCCGCGAAGTGTCCGGTAAGAATAGTCTTACCAACGACTTTCAAGGCCGACTCCGGCCCGATTAGCGATAAGATCGCGTTTCCTTATGAACGAGTAATGTAAATAATAAAGATCGATAGGTCAACCGTGGAAAATTTTTTTTCCCTTCCAGATAATTTCCCATGTACATCGCGGATATTGAGAGAGATACGATTCAAGGATTCAACGTGAAGAAAGGAGAAAAAGATATATGAACACGCACGTGTTTTTCTCACGCGTCACCTGCATCGCGAAATATAAAAAAAGAAACAATTTGCTTAATCACACTGCATAAAGAAACGCAGGAAGATGAAGATGAAACGAATATATCCTTCGCTTTTCAGAAAATCGAAATTCAGAAAAACTGCCAATTTTACATAATTTTTTCTTCACATTTCCTTCAACCCTGCTCACTCCGACAGAATGACAGCCCTCGGTGAAATGTCATGTCACGAAGAGAAGAGTCGATTTAGAAAGAAATACGATTAATACTAAATTTCACGATCGTTTATTATTATTTATTCTCCATATAACTAATAACATAATAACAATTATGTTTATATATTATATATAATAATAAATAATAACAATTATTTAAATTAATGTTCGTCTACATGTGCCACGCAACTTGCGATTCGAGCGAGACAGACGTTTCACCGGAAAGCAGCCAACTTCAGGCAGCCGTTAAACCAGACGTTAAACCACGGCGTTGAATCAACGATAAGTTTGATGACTCCGAGAGGAAGTGTTATCTCGAAAACTCTCAAAACAGCTGAGAACAATAAACCCTCCCCCTGATCCCGGGTTATCACGGTAGTCGATGCGTCGAGCTCGCGACGTGTAATCGTTCTCTCTCTCTTTTCCTACGTGCAGGTCGATCTCCACCATTAATAATTCACCCAGAAAATAGAGCACGATGCGTGCACGCTTGTACTTAACTATCTCGTTAGAAAAAAAAACGGTGAGAGCGTTAGTAGAGCGCGGGTGGACGCGAATGGACGCGGCACGGCGCGACGCGACGCGACGCGGTGCGGCGGAAAATCGATCACGTCACCGAGAAATGCGAATGAAAACGGGGTAGGCCGAGAGGAGTCTGAGAGTAGCGTCGGACTACACCGGCCTGACGGCCACCGTCATCCCGCGTCGGTGTTTAGGATCGGGCCAGCGCGGAAAAACTCGCGACCGCCCCCGTACAGCGTGAAGCCGGCCGATTACCGAGAAACTCCGAGGAACATCGAGAAACAACGACACGCGCGTCGTATGCACCACTGACGACCGACGGTGAACGGCGGCCGACGGCGAACTCGTCGACGGCGGCGGCACGTGACCGCCCGCGGATGACGGGCGCCCAGGATCGTAACAAAGATGATCCTCCTAACGATCGGATTGCGTTAGGCCGCATGCGAAACGATGATTTCAGATTCGCATTGACGCGTGCCATCCAATTTATATGCCAGTTAACATATAAAAAAACATAAATACTTCAATAGGGGCAATTTTGCCAATCAAGTTTGAGAATCGAAACGTGAAATCAGACGTTTTAAAATGGCTTTAACTCTTATGATCGATCAATTTGTTTACTGCGAATTAAGTTTTGCAATTTGTCACGTGCCTTCCCTTATTCAGACGCAAAATGAGAATTCCACAAAGATGGAAATAAACACTGATCTTAATTCTGTAAATAATGATAATAAATAAATTCTGAAAATATTGACATGCTCGTTTCTCGTATGTGTTATTAGAGTTAATTTATCTTTGATTCTCTGACATTTTTTTTTTAATATAATAAATCATTAGCTTTGTCACGAAACGACACGAGAAGAGTGTTAATAGAATATTAATATTCCACTGAGAGAATAAAAGACTTTTATTTTTATACAGAGTATACTTTAGAGAGGTGCAAAGTTTGAAGTTCGTTATTCTTAGAAAAATTTAATTTTGACAACAGAGAGTTTGATGTATATATGTAAAGAAGTTAAACTAGCCAGAGGCTAAAGAACATTAGAATATTAATACTTCTTACAATAATATATAAATATATTATGAATTAAATAAACTTATTCACTCATGTATTTGCGGATATTTTTTCGTATTTGTCTCATCTTAAAGATGTCATTTTTCAAATAAATCTTATCTCGTGTGCTTTGTATCAGAAGATAAAAGCATAAATAATAGTTTCGAATGCAGAAAATTGAGATAATACTAAGAAATCAGTCAGACAGTAATCTGCATTAAAGTAATTAAATCGAGAATATTAAATGGAAATTTTTTGAGTCTTATGGATTCTCAGAAAATGCAAAAGAATCAAATTAAAGACATACAAAGCAAAATCAGAACTATATAAACAAATCTAAAATTAACTAAATAAAAAAAACAACATAAAAAAAGTATCTCAGTTGAACTTTTTATAATTTTCTTTGACGCATTTGTAAATCAATGTATGTATATTATACAGAAAAAAAGTTCAACAAAAACAAATGCAAATGATTTTTTCCCTTTTCTCGTTGTGGAAAAATAGAATCAGAAAAATAACTATTAATTCAACAAATAAAATTACAAAATGTTCCATGTGAACGTTGAAAGAATGACTTAGATAAAAATCTACGAATTAATATAATTATTTATAGTATGTTTTTAAAGGAATGAGAATTTACAAATAAAATTATTTTAATTATTGCATATATTAATGTTTTACAATATGCACGATTTATTATAAATAATTATAATTTACTTGTAATTACCGTTTATCTATTCACATAGCACAGTAACGCACTCTCGAACGTGCGAATCTTAATTGTAACTTTACTTCTTTTACATCCCGATTACATTATGCATCGTATATTTTATCAATATACATATCTTATTGATTATGGAAGGAAAATAATATATTTCTTGTTATTAATGTATTTTACATTATTCAATCTCATAATTTCGCATTTTTATCCCGTGCAGTGTTTATATCAGCTAAGATGCTAAGAGTTTAAGTTTCAAATCGAGTTTCAATTTTGCTAAAAATTTGCTAAAAATTTTCATCCTGTGTATGAAGTGCCTCAGAAAAAAGAAAATATGATTATCGATGTAACGTGATAATTGTGTAAAATTATACTAAAATATTACATAACACGTACATGTTTCAAATGATTGCTATAGAACTTCGTCTCTAAGGATGATTCACGAAGCGTGATGTACCGGAACTCGATCTGTGAAATTTTTCTCAAGCAACCAACTTAAAACTCTTCAAATTGATTCTTCCACATATAACAAGTATGTGAGTAATATTTGCGGTAGATTCGAGCGGAATATCACGACAGATTGGCGTTAATCACATCCGCAATTCCACGTTCTGTGCAGCAGAGTCTAGTATATGAGTCGTTTGGTAACCATTTAAACGAGATTAATTAAATGGAATTTGTGTCATTTAAGTGATTATGAAACGAAAGAGCTTGCTCATTAACTCGTATAATTAATCTGCATTTCGTGACATTTCTGACAGATTTATTCGTGTTATTTTTAACGGACTCTATTACACTTTCTAATGAAACAATTTGCAATGGAACGTTTTGCAAAATTTGCTCCTCCTCGTCCCCTCCTCCTCTCCCGACAATTCCGACAATTACGTTTCGAATTAATCAGATACAGCTTATTCCTACGATTGCAATGAAACGCACAAAAGAGGAAGAAAAAAAGAGAAAGGGAAGAAGACAAAATGAGCCGACAATGAGGTATGTCTCTTCGCTTCTCTCTCTCTCTCTCTCTCTCTCTCTCTCTCTCTCTCTCTCTCTCTCTA